CCATAAATGCACTGGAACAGTGGATGGCCACATGCAAAATCCAGGCAAAATTACAGTGTGACCTTGTACCTTATACAGAAGTTAACTTTGAGTGGATCGTGGGCCTAAGCGTAAAATGCAAAGCTACGAAACCACTAAATAAACACACAGGAGGACATCTAGGTGACTTCAGCTTGACAATGGCTTCTTAGATAGGACATCCAAAGCGCAGTCCGTGAAGGTAAAACTGACAAGTTGGATTTCATTAAAATCACAAACCTCTGCTTTGTGAAAAACACCATTAAGAGAAAGAAAAAATAAGCCACAGACTGAGCGAAAATATTTGCAAAAGAAGTATCCAAGAAAGGACAGTCATCCAAAATACACAAGAGATTCTTAAAGCTACAGTAAGAAAGTAAAGAACCCAAGTAAAATATGGGCCCAAGATCCAAACAGACATCTCACCAAAGAAGACAAACAGATGGCAAGTAACATATGAAAAGACTCTCAGCGTCACACGACATTGGAAAAGACACTAGCATCACATAACATTGGAAAATCGTGAGTTAAAAGAATGCAGTGCTACTGCACATCTACTAGAATGATGAAAACCCCAAACACCAACCAGGTAGAGTGCTGGCCAGAAGAAACAGCAGCAGGAACCCTCACCCTCAGCTCAAGGGAATGCAAAATGTCTCAGCCCTTTTGAAGGACAGCTCGGCAGTTCTTACAAAGCTACAGTCTCGTAGTACAATCCAGCAGTGACACACTTAGTTATCCAAAAGAGTTGCAGATTGATGTACACACCACACACACACACACACACACACACACACACTGCCTAGGAATGTTAATAGCAACTTTATTCAAAGTTGCCCCAAACTGGAAGCTACAAAGGTGCCCTTCAGTAAGCAAGTGAACAAAGAAGCTACAAGAGCTCATCCACGAGGGGAATTCAGCAGCGAAGGAAATGAGCACTCAAGCCACGAAAAATCACAAGGAGGAAACTTTAATGCATATTGCTAATTAAAACAAGCCAATCTGAAAAAAAACTGTATACTGTATGATTCCAACTCTGTGACACTTGAGAAAAGCCCAACACAGGGATAATGAAAATATCAGGGGTTGCCAGTTTGGGGGGAAAGTGTGGAAGGGAACAGAAAGCAGGACACAGGGGACTTTTTGAGCCAGGAAGTACTCTGCGTGGTACTTTAGTGTGGACACATGACATTAGGCATTTCTCAAAACCCAGAGAACCACGTGACACTAGGAGTGAACCCTGATGTGAACCATGGACTTCTGTTAATAATTTATGCCTCAACGTTGGTTTGCTAGATATAATAAATGCACTACACCAACACAAGATGTCAGAAGAGGGGAAATGGGGGGCGAAGGGTGAGGGGAAGACCATACTTGTGCTTGATTTTTCTGTAAATCTCAAACTGCTTTAATATATAAAGTTCATTAATTAAAAACAATACCACCATGTTGAGCTGAGAAAGCATGAAAGACAAAAAAAAGCTTTATATTTTAGTTTAACAGCTTTTTGAACAAAGAATTTCACATTTTCACTTTTCCACAAGGCTTAAACAGTATGCAGCCAGTCCTGTTTATCACTGTGTACAAATAATACTAGCCCATGTTTATTGAGCATATGCAATGCACCAGCTATTGTGCCAAGGGCTTGCTGTTCATTCATTATTTCATTAAAATTCACAATGACCCTAAGAGAGGTAATATGTTTATGTCATTTTGTAATAAGAATATCAAGACTTAAAAGAGTTGAGTGTCTCAATCAAAGATGAGCTGGTATGAGCTGGTACAAGAGTCAGATTTGAACCAAGGGCCTAACTCCCAGCTCCACCACCACCTAAACCACTGCCATCTTAGATCTCAAAATTTCCGAGGTACTTCTTCAGAGGTACTGCTGATGGCCAAATGCCAATCTCACTGACAGCAATGCTCAGGCATTTGCCAAATGGACAGTCCTGGGAATTTTACTCATCGCATCTGTAATGTGGAATATTTCCAACCAGCAGATACTTTTAATAAAACCCCTCAAATTCTTCAGATGATGCAAGTATGTGAATGTGTGAGAGTCTTATGAACGTGGTGGACAGACTCCTTTAGAGACCTATAAATAAGTCAGGAAGGAATTTATTCTTCAAGAAAATATGCAATACAGATATATTTTATAAAACAGACCTGGACAATCTTGATTTTGACCTAAGATACACTCTAGATTCAACAACAAAAAATCAAAATGAATATCCTGAGCTTATCCAGGAAGCTGTTCTTCCAGACTTTACCCTTTTTGACTTGCTCAGTACAGAGCCACAGGGTTAAAAGAAGGACACCTTTTCATTGGCGTGGGCTTTGAGGCGCAGTTATCTGTACAGAGTTCAGGGCTGTCTGCCAGCCCCGCAGCTCGGCTCTGCAGCACAGAGGGGTGCCTCAACTTCCCGATAAGCTCATCTCTGGGGACCATTTTCCCTTGTGCCAAGAACCTATCTTGGAAGGACTCTGACACGGACACCTCCAGTAGTGCCCGCTCTGCCCTTGTGACTGAAACCACAGACCATGGGGTGGCTGAGCCTGCAGCAAGGGCCTCAGCCCTTGGAATCTACAGTGGCCAATTCATCTTGCTGTGACAACGTCAGGCAGCCCGTGCATCTCTGTGTCTTGGGTGCGTGATTGAAGCACAGGGTATGTTATGGTAAAAATCCCAATTATGCCTTCCGCCATCTGTTAATAGCATGTGTCAGTGGACTTGTTGCCAGGAAATGCTGAGAACAAAGGGGTGAGAGGCCCTGCTCCAGAGAGGGGCTCAGGCTCCCACTGTGGCCCGGTGGCCTGGTTACAGATGTGGCCGCATCTTGGGCATCCAACCCCATGGTGCACAGAGGGCCGAGGCCTCAGGGAATTGGGATGTGTCCAGATCTGTTTGGGAAGATGGACTCGGTGGAAAGAAACATTGATGTTTTTCTTACAAATTCTCAAAAGTAAAATTAAAACAGAGAGAGATGGGGAACCAACTAGCTCCTACTTTGCATACCTAGGTGAGACTGGCTGACAGTTCAAGTCATTTAAAAAATACTGAGCTTCTTGAGGAAAAGGACACATATGGCATATCTTGAATCAAGTTTTGTAAAAATATCAAAATTTTAAGTTTAAAGTTTAAATACGTGAGTTGGAATCATTGTACCTTATTATATCAGAGAATTCATTTCCTTCCAGATGATGAGATTGTGGAAATCAGCAGCAACTTTGTATAGATAACGAGAAACCACGTACAAACCCGCACACTGGACATTAGGTTCTGCCTCTTTCTAACTAAGTGAGGATCAGAGTCAACAACTCTCTACAATAGAATGAAAATTCTATTGTAATTTTAAGGTTTATTTTGTGATGTGAAAATGGAAAAGAATTCAGACCTATAAGAGGTGTGCTTAGAGCTTAGAAGATGAAATGCCTTGAATTCCAGAATACTGACATTCTATGCGAGGTGATCGTTGGTTTTCTCGTTACAACACATGATCGGGGCCTTATCTGCAGACTGCATTCAGAAGTTGTCAACAGAAGTTAAAAATATGTCTCTGAGATACATTTTCTGTATCAATGTATAAAGTAAAATAAAACCAGGACATGTCCCCTCACATCCCTTTGACAATGCATTTGAGTTTTTTTATTAAGACGGTTTTCTTCTAGTGCTGCCACTGAAAGACCTGCTTCTCCACCACCTCATCAAGGTGCACCCCCAGCAAGCCTTCTGAGTCCCTGTGGAGGACAGGGCTTGCCAGCTGAGAGTGAGCTGTGGGGTCCCCCCTCCGCCCTAGGGAGGAAGGTCACGTGGAACATCTAGATTAGAGCGAAACTCGTGCATCTTGTCGAGGGGCCTGCTTGATGTGGGGTGAAGAGGGTGATGCTCCAACAGTGGAATGACGTGAGGCGCTTCTCAGGTTGCTGCTAGGAAGAGAAGTTAGTGTTCCTTCCTCCCGGGCTGCCGCTCTCTGTCCACTTGTCTTTCCACCTCTGTGCTCACTCCCTTCCCGACCCCAGCAGAGTTCATCCTGGTCATTCCTGGGCCTCTTCACAGGAGGGTTGGGTGAGGAGCAGAAAGTGCCTCTTCCTACACCCCTTCCCTCTGTCACCCCTGCTCACAAATAAGCAAGGTTAACGCCTAGGGGTGCCAGCTTTTAAATACATTTTAAATTAAGAAAGGAACATCTACTTCTTGTAAAAAAAAAATAGAAAGATACAATTTTAATTAATAAAACTAAAATCACCTATAAATTCACAACCAAAAGACAACCCCTGAGAAAATGGATCTATTAATTTTTTTCAAAATGTAGCTGCATATTTCAACATTCTTGGGAGTCTACTGGAGACACAGCTGGTTTGTTTTTTATTTTCTTGTGTCACTAAAAATTATTTAAAAGCATAACTGTAATGGTTGCAAAAAAACATAATGGTTGGCTTCTATTATATGCTCCATATGGAAAGGATTTTGCCTAACTATTAATTGTCTTGATAGTGTGCTGGTAAACTGGCTCTCTAAAACAAAAACAAAACAACAACAACAACAAAAACAGCCTTAATTTGTAATATTTGCCAATTTCTATGGTGTAAATATTCCTATCAAGGCGGATATCAAAAGTTGGCTCACAAAAATTCCAAAAAAATTTAACAATCAGGCCTTGTAAACTGGTTTGGGCCAGTTCCTGGCCACCTCTGACTGTGTGGAGTGTTGTAAAGGGAGGGGTTCCCGCCGTGGACCGTGTGTTAGATATTGTGGCATAGTTCGGCTACTAACTGTGTTAAACACTGTAAAGGTGACCTATTTCTGCCCTCAGAAGCCAACACCTACGCAGGTAGCAAGAGGTTCTTGGGAACAAGGACGTGTCCTTGGATCCCACAGTTGCCTTCACTCTCCTTGACATTTCCCCCAGATGCACTCCCAGCTGACCGCCTACTCCCCTGAGTGACCCGTCCCTACCAAGGACCTCAGAAGGAGCCTGGAGAAAACGCAGCGCGGCCTTCTCTACCTCTCTCCACACCCCTCAGCCTGGCCTCCCTGTGACTTCCCTGGGATTATGCTTCCTGCTCTTCACCCCTATCCAGTCCTGATAGGTTCCAGCTGCGTGACCTCCACTTAGGTACAGTTACAGTTAAGTATGTTTGGAACATGGAAGGGGACAGTTAATCTGGAAAAGAAAAAGAAGAAAACCACCACTAACCAGTGCATGACTGCTTTGTGGGCAGGGGAGGAGATTTCTCTTTACAGACTGCTGACAGTCCTTTTAAAAAAAATCTGCAGACTGTGACATTAAGATTAAATGCAGAACCTTTTTGAAAGTTTGATTGTCTGCAGTGAGATTAGAAAGACCACCAGTAAGTGGTGGATAAGTAAGTAAGGTGGATAAGTAAATAAGTAAGACACCACTTATGTTTTTAAAATAAGTGTATCATTTGAATTTGTTGTTTCCTGTACCATCACATTATTAGAACCCAGGACTTCGTAGTTAAGTAGAGTTATGCAGAAATTTCAGATGCCTCCTGAATTCATCTCGATTCCCCACGAAGGTCAAGGCAGTGTTCCCAAGTGGTGGGAATCATCAATAAGCTTTTATTGAATTAACAAAGACTGGCGGGTACACAGCACACCACAGTGGGGAAAGGGCTAGCTATTTGGGGGATTAATCCTATCTTAAAGAAAGCTTGGGAATCAGAAGGTCCTGAGCCGACTCCCAGCTCCCCACTTGCTCTGTGAACTTGAGCTAGTCTTCTGAACTCCTGCGTTCTCTGAGCAGGTGAGAGCAGTCCCTTCTCTGGTAGGGTGGCTGTGAGTTATTTCAGTCCTCTGTATAGCACACTACCTGAGACTCAGTGCCTAAAAACAGCCGCTCATCTTGCTCTTCTGGCGGTGGGACAGGGATCTGGGGAGGAATCTGGGGCAGGGTGTCTCTGACCCACAGGCATGGCTGGGGCTGGCTGGGCTGGAGGTCCTGGCTGTAGCAAATTCAAGCATCTATAGGGGGAGGCTTGGTCTTCCTGTTCTCTCCTCTTACCCTCTATGCCTGTCATTCCTTATTGAGTAAGGGTGGATTTGTTTTTGTACTGGAGATTGAACCCAGGGGTGTTCAACCACTGAGCCTCATACACAGCCCTCTTTATTTTCTTATTTAGAGACAGGGTCTTTCTAAGTTGCTGAGGCTGGCCTTGAACTTGCCATCTTCCTGCCTCAGTCTCCAAGTCACTGGGACTACAGGTGTGCACCACCACACGAAGCACACAACAAATCTCCTATAAAGAGCCACAAAGTAAATACTTCAGGTTTTGAGGATCCTGTTCATGACTATTACCTATGGTCCCACAGCATAAAAGCAACCACAGACAATATGTAAATAAACGTGATTCTGTTTCAATAAATTTTTTTTTTACAAAATTGAAATTTAATTCACATTTCACAGAATATTAGTCTTTTAATTCCCGCCCACAACCACTGAAAGCTATCCTTAGCTCAAGGATATTCCACTGGGCAGAGAAGGAGATGGCTCTCAGGCTGACCCCTGCTGTGAGGCTGACCCTGGCTTCTCAGGCCTTGGCCTGGTGGCCCTGGAGTGGCCACACCTCCAACAGCAGGGATCCCTAGAGGCGGGAGTGGAAGGACCTGAGGTCTTCAGCTGGAGCGTGGAAGTGGCCAAGCATCCCTCTTGTCAAAGCAGTCCAAGGGCCACCCAGCTTGGCAAGTTGAGAGCAAACCTTCGTCGCAGGAGATGGCTGGGTCACATGCGGAGGAGCATGCGGAAGGCAGACACTGCATGGCTAGCTTGGGACCTGCCCTGTGAGGCTCAGCAATGGGGCTTGCAAAGTCCCTGTTCAAGGTGCACTCAAGGACAAGGCTACAGTGGTGTCCTCACTACACTTGAGAGGGGAGCACACAGCCCTGAGATTCACAGGAGTTTTCTAGAGGAGAAGCCAGTGCAACTGTCAAAACAGGTTTTTTAGACACTGACCTGTTTCCTCAGGTGCAGGAATGAGGCTCCTAAGGGCACCTACCTTTCAGCATTGTTCTGAGAAGTTAATAAAATGAAACATGAAGAGTGCCTCAGTGGAGGAGTCGTGGTGTGCATGCTCAGCTTAGTGATGACTGTGATCATGGGATTTTATGTCATGGGTTGGAAATCATTCTTTGTTTGCAGTTTTCACTGGGGTTTTACTAAAAATTATTTGAAATCACATGTAATAAAATGACCAACATAAAAATATATATCCAGTTGTATATACAGCGCAATCAAATTTGGAAATATTCCATCTGATTTACATTTTTAACTACTAACAAAAATTTTAGGTACAATTTGCAGAGATAAAGTGATAGATAAATATAAAATATTAGACAGTGGCAATTGCATAACAAAAATAATAAAAGCCGATTCAGAATTGTAAATAGGGAGCAACCCAATATCTTTGGGTTTTGCTGATGGATATTGGTTTCAACTGGTGAGTTTCTAAAATAAGGCAGCACATGGATAAAAGGATCAAGACCCAAATAAAAGCTCCAAACAACTGCAAATAAACTAGATTCCCCAGTAATAAATCTTGAATCTTGCTGTTTGATCACCCTTATCAGGCAGCAGCCTGAGAAGTTAGAAGTGCTCTCCATCCTGCCCAGAAGGTCAAGGACCCTCTCGGCCTCATCAGCTCCGCATTCCTACGGGGAGGACCCTCTGTGGAGAATGCAAAGAATGGAAGCTTCTTGGCCTGAATAAAACCACAGCTCCACTGCTGGTGGGGCCGCATTTCCCCAAGGCCACCAGAGACAGCTTGCAGGAGTTTCAGAATTACACACTTTGATGCTCCTCAGCCATTAAACAATGTTTGTGGACATGAGAAAATGACCTTAACATGCTGTTAAGTGAGAAAAGCAGGCACAAGACTGTAAGGATGATGTGAAATAATTTTTACCAAGCAATGTAAGATAAATATATACGGAAAAAGCATCACGAGTTCTTGCCAAGTGTAATGGAAGCTGCCTCGGTGTGGCAGGATTTAAAAGGACTTACTGACCTGTTTCCTTTGACTTTTTCTTTGTTTTCCAAGTTTTCTGCTATACATATTAGTTCTAAAATAGAAGACAATTATTTTAAAGCATAACCAAAACCGAGATAAGCCAATAATAAAGAGATAATAAAAAGAACATAATTGATTTCATTTGATGGTACTTGCTACATAAATCAGTGCCCAATCTCAGAACTTCATATCTCAAAACAACCACGGCAGGCTATGCTAAAGATTCCGTGTAATTTTTTATATGAGGTACAGTGGGAAGATATTAGGAACATATTATAAAGATATTAGGTATTGTTATATTTCATTAATCAAAATTTTTTAAAAAAATGTTCACAAAACTATGGTTTCCAACATATAAAATTCTAGCAAACTTGAATCTTGTGGTTTACTTTATTTCAGGGTCTTTTTTTAAAATATCATCATAACGAAGACTATGATGTCATTGAATTGGATCCAGGAGGTGGATTCAAAGAGGCAGTACTGGGATGGGGGGTGGCCCGGCAGCAGGAAATCAATTAACTCAACCAATACGAAGTGAGCTACCCTTTCAGCCCCCAGGGCCTGGGTTTCTCAGCCTTCCGGCAGCTCTGGCATCATGAAGCCCCAGCTTGGCAGGACAGCCACTACATCCTTGATGTCTCTGTCTCTGGCACCTTGTGCTGACTGCCTGGTATTTCCCGGTAAATATTTGGGCAAAGAAGAGAGCCAAAGCCTTTCTCACAGGCAGCGAATGTGCTAAAATAATCCCAAGGTCTAGGATGCAGAAGCACTTGAGTTAGATTTGCACCCACACGCAGCCCATTAATTACCATTAAACAGATACAGTGATCACTATTGATAAGAAACAAGCGTCACTTTCTTACCTGTGCCCTGTGTTTGCTTAGCCACTGACCTACCATTCATGGGCCATATATGCCAGAAGGAAAAGTGGACCCCGTTTCACGGGCAATGCTACAAATTCTCCAACAATCCCTGTGTCAAGAACAGTTGTGTCTTGTAAGTGCTAGTCCCTGTGGATCCCCCAGGATAGAAAACTGGCCCTATTGATCCAACATGAAAAGCAAATCCAGGAAGAAGGAACCTTCCTGTGCATGGAGAGGCACCTGCCAGCCACTCGGGGTCCCTTGTGCATTGATTCCACAAACACTCAGAGGCCAGCAGTAAGCAGCTCTGCACCAGGTTCTCTGCAGATCAGGTTGTAAAAGACAGGCCCCTAACCCTCGATAAGCTCACCCCATGTGCCAGGGTGCTTACCCCATGTGCCAGTGTGCAGTCCTGTTAGTGCAGGCAAGTCCTCTTTCAAATAAATAATATAAAAAGGAACAATTCCACCCCAAGAAGTGGCCTACCTACTTCAAGAAATAGTTTAAGCAGTTTAATTTCTTTGTGATTTTTTTTTAAAAGCAATGTAACTCTACAGAGTTCCACAGGGAAGATTTAAATTGTTAAGCTTGGGCACAAGGTAGAGTTCCAGTGCTCTTCCTCAATACGCTAGGTATTCAGAAGAGGGACAGGTTTCTGAAGAGGACACAGGACCCATGCGGGCAGTGTAAAGGGGCTGCTTGACAGTGAACAGCAGCTCATTGAGGTGCCGGATGCTGGACCCCAGCGCAGCTCCAAGGGGACTCGAGACACAGACGGCTTGCATACCGAACCCCGGGGACGCTCTGGGTCCTCTCTGGGTCTGGATTCCCTAGCCCTCCCCATGGCGCCCCCTCCTCTGCCCCATGGCAGTGCTGTCAGTTGTTCTCTGACAGTTTGGCAGCATGGGCAGATTTCCATCAGACACCAGTAAGGCCCTGAAATGGCCCCTATTCCAGACACCCTGTCACCAGGGCAGAAAAGCCACTTGCAGAGGATCCAGGCAGGGGAGCTCTGCCAGCCCCCCAGCCCAGGGAAGAGCGAGCCCTGGGGAAACCAAGTAACAGTGTCTAGGCCCAGCCCATCCCTTATTCTCTATTGTTTTCTATCCTCTAATTATTCAGATTAGGCTTCAACCCCATGGTGGATCTTCAGACTCCTAGCAGGATAAGATCTGTGGCAAGAACAGAGAGGTCCTAGACTGGAGGATCCAAAAAGATGCCACAGGCGGGGCGTGTCCACATTCGCGTGTGCTCTCGTTTCTTAAAAGAGAGAAACAGTTCTCAGAGATATGGAGAATATCCTGACACACACACACACACACACACACACAGCCAGATAAAGGTGACGAGCACTAAAACTGCGAGCAGAAGGCCCACAGAAATAGGCCCAAAAGTGAACGTGGAAAATGAGGTGCGATGAACTGTGAAAGGCATCGGGGGAACACAGAGAAAAGCAGAGAAGTAGGATCGTAAAATCCACATAGAAACAGGCAGACATGAGGAGAGGGTCTGCAGCTTGGAAATGCAGGGACTTAGAAGATGGGAGGAGAGACGGCTGGAGAGAATTAGAAAGAAAACTAAAGGGGAGCTTCACGTAGTGCCTAAGATAATCCTCAATTTCACTCCCCCCAAAACCATGAAGAAAAAGGAGAAGAAATAGCCCTTGGCCTAGAAGAGTGACTGCAGGGGACGTCTCGGAGCTGCACCTTCAGGTGTCAGGACCCTCAGGGAGCTGCTCCTCTCCTTCACTGAAATCCCACAGAAAAGCTCTACCTCTAACCCGTCTTGGGGTGAGGCTCTGGTGGTGTCTGCATCTGAATCAGGAAGCCCAGGAGTCTCTGTTTCAGGGTGAGACAAGCTATTCCCGGCTGCCTGGAATGTGGCAGAGTGAGGTCCCCAGCCAGGCCCAGCATATGTCAACCCTCCGTCCACTCCATCAGTCCTTCATCCTGTGACAAGGGCCACTCTGGGTCATCTGTTTGGGGACCTGGTGTCGCTGGGGTAATGAGGCTGGGGTCGCTGGTGCTGCTTGGATGGTGTGTCTGAGGTCTGAAGTCTGTGGCAGCAGGACAGACTCTGGGAAAAGCCAGGCTCTGTAGAGCTTAGGTGAGGACAGCAGAGTGCAGAGCCAGGAGGTGGCCTGCAGGGACCCCAGGCCAAAGCCTGCCCTCCCCCCACCCCAACTTCAGGATGGGGACGTGGGCTCAGGACTGCATAAGCCATGGAATGACGAGTGAGACTGCACCCAACCCCAAAGGGAGGCCGTCACCCGCTCTAATGACATTCCAGCCACCGGGGCAGGATCCACGAAGGCCACAGCCTAAAGACGGTGGCCTTTGACATCAGCGCCCCTTCACCCATCGCTGTCTCTCACTATTTGAGGAAAGCATCTGCAGGGCAGGGGGCGTGGGCGCGTCCCTTGAAGGCAGCATTGTCCTGTGAGGGCAGCTCCAGCCCACAGCAGTGTCCAGCCGAAGTTCCAGGGGCTGACTGCTCTTGTGTGTTCCATCCCCCGCCATCAAAGTCCTGCCAGAGGAGCAGTCAGTGGACATCGAGGAGCCTGTGTTGACACACGGATGGCACCAGGAGTCCAAGGTTTCCTTGGGGTTCCTTGGTGTCCAACATGCTGGGGGTTTGGGCAAGGATGTGTGGCAGCGTCCCCCACGCCACACGGCATTCCACTGCCCGAAACCCCGTCCTCTGCTTGCCGCCCCTCCCCCTCCAAACTCTGGCTCGCTGGTGCTGCCCACCTCCAAGCTCTGCCCTTCCTGGCACCTTGGGCAGTCGGAGGCTTCCCTCTGGAGCATTCAGGTGGCCGCGCTCTCCCTGCAGCAGGCACCGTGCTCTCTCCTCTCCTGGGAGCACCGGGTGCCTGCTCACTGTTTGCTACCCCAGTTCATTCACCCTCTCGCCTGCAGGAAGTCATCTTGCTGGTTGCTTCAAGCTTCTGGCAATTGTGAATAAAAACTCTGTGAATGCTCATGATCTGTGTGGCCATAAAGTGCTTTTCGGGTGCAGGTTCACAGGTAGACCTGAATTTCTTGGATAAATACCAAGTAGGTCAATTGCTGGATCATATGGGCAGAGTCTGTTTGGTTTTGTAGGGTGTTTTGTGTGTGTGTGTGTGGGGGGGGGATTGAACCCAGGGCCTTGTGCATGCGAGGCAAGCACTCTACCAACTGAGCTACATCCCCAGCATCTCTGGTTTTGTAAGAAACTGCCAAATTGTCTTTCAAAGTAGCTGTATCATTTAGCATTCCCAGAAACAACAAAGGAGAGTTCCTTGCTCCACACCCTTACCAGAATTTGGTGCTATCAGTGTTTAGGATGTTGGACCTTTGAATCAGTATGTAGAGGCATGTTGTTTTTAATTTGCGATTCCCTAACGACATACAATGTGGAGCATATTTTTATGTGCGTATCTGCCATCTCTAGATCTTCTATGGTGAATCCCTCTTCTCGATCCACTAACACAGTTCACAGCCCACATGTGACCATGAACAATATCAGCAAACATTGGCAAATGTCCCCTGGCATTAAAAATAGCCTCGGTTGAGAACTTCCAAAGAAATAAATCAGTAATGGTGAAATTTAAGTCAAGAGTGAGGAAAGAGAGGTGTAGAAATAGTTTGTTTCGAAGTCCTTCCCAGTGCTCCAGAGCCACAATAATAGGTTTTAGACTGATATGATCCTGCCGGGTATGGAATCGACATGTCTACACTCGTGGTCCCAGAAAGGTATTGACTGTCCCCTTTTGTTCTCCAACACGTCCGGCTTACACAATGCTCTCCACCTCCGCCAGTCGCCCCGCTGAGCATGGAGGCCTGGCTTGGCCTCTGTGGATGCTCTCTGGCCTGGGGCACCTGGGGTGCTATCTGCTGAGGTGCAGCTGCAGACCTGGCCATTGTGTGTGTTACACTCACGTGTTCTCAGGAGAAAGTATGGGAGCAGGAGCTTTCCCAGAAGGCCTTGCTGGGTGCTTTAGGCACTGGAGTGTCAGGCAAGAGAAGGGAGGTGGGAGCAAGCGCTCCGTGCATGTGTAGCTGACCCATCAGGGTCTAGGGGCTGCTTGTCCTCCTTGTGCACTAGCGGCAAATTCACCACGGTGTAACTCGACAGTTGCTGTGTAATTGTAACAGCTGCTGAAATCTGTACCATCAGACCACACTTCATGCAGTTTATGTCAGAAGGATGCAATGCAGGTCAAAGTCAAGGCAGGAACAAAGTGACCCAAAGAGACCCTGTTTATTTCAGGTACATTTGCAAGCAGTAATAGTCCTCCTTCGGTTTTCATTTTGGAGAGAATACAAACACCAGACAATAACACTTAAAAATGCTCTTTAACATCAGCCTTCTTTTTTGGAGGACAGAGGATAAAGAGTCATTATTTAGCTATTACCATTAAACTCAGGATTGCTACTGCAGCTAAACAAAAACCCCGACTTCCTGCTAGCCAAAGCAAAGAATAAAATAAGAATTAAAAGCCAATCATTCATCTGCACTTACTATATTTAAATTTAAGGAAGTCTCACATCAGGAGAAACAGCTGTTTTTCTAGCTGAAGCAATTGAACAGGAATTTAGGGAAGTGTGCTTTCTGTAAGTGAAACTGAAAGGCAAAATAAGCAGTATCTGTACAAGTGCTGGGACAATGATGGCCAAGTATCTTCTTGTGACAGTGATTTCTCCTACTGGTCCCCACGTGTGCCAAGGGCGGTGTGTGAAGCCCTGCTGGCAGCAGCTGGTGCCCTGAGCACTGACGTGGGCCCTGTTATGACCAACTGACCAGGAGGCAGGAGAATGCACATGCAGGGAGCTACTGCAAACCTGTGTGGCCGGCACTGCTGCAGGCACCTGAGTGACTGCAGAACCTGCGGTGTGGCTTCCTGGTGACGCTGCCGCAGGGTCAGAGCTTGCTGATGCTAGAAAAAATGCCTTGTGAGTGCACACCACAGACGCCGCGGTGGATGCTCCCCTCAGGATGCTCTTAGATACTGCAGTGTCAGCAGAGCACTCAAGGCAGCTCTGTCCACCTAAATGGCCATGTCCAACTGGACTGACTTCCTTCCTTCCTCCCTCTCTCTCTCTCCTGCAGTAACAGGTATTGAACCCAGGGATGCTCTGCCACTAACTGCATCCCCAGTCTCATTTTTTTTTTAAGACAGGGCCTCGCTAAATTGCTGAGGCTGGCCTAGAACTTGCGATCCTCCTGCCTCAGTCTCCCAAGTTGCTGGGATGGCAGGCGTGCACCACTGCTCCCGGTTCATTCGTACTTTCAACATAGTCATAGAAAACATTGACTGACTTCAGAGGCAGAATTCTGGAGGCTTATGAGATGCATGCATGTCAGGAAGGCTGTTTGGACACTGCACTGCCCTTTTGAAAGAGGACCTCTTAAATTGAGTGTAAATGATGCAGAAACACAAAGATTACATTTCCTTTGAAGAGCAAGTGTTGGAAACTCCGAAGAAAAAAAAAACATGCTAGTCACGCCTTGCTCCTGAGACCAGGTTCGTTTGGGTTCTGGTTTAGCGGGCACAAAGGGGGCTCAGTGAGGTTTCAGGACACAGGGCTAATAAAAGGGAACAAGGAGGGACCAAGATGAAGTCACGCAAAGTGGTGCCATTCGATGCCAGGCTGGATGGAGTAAGCCAGGTCAATCCAGGGGATGGCAACAGCCCTCTGGGGGATGGGTTGGGCTGTTAAGTGCTAAGCCCTAGAGGAGGCTAGGAGGGAAAGGGCAGCTCCCTCCCTCTGCTGGAGCACGTGGGAAACGGGCTCATTTTTGGCTGCACTACTTTTCTGTTTATCTTCCTGATTAGTTGTGAATTCTTCTTCCAACTCCGAGTCTTCCTAGCCTGTGGGTTCCGCTTGTCTTCTTGGATTAGATTCTCTTCAAGACCAGGACCCCTGGAATCCCAGCTCCATTCCCAAGGTAATTTCTGCAGGAAAGCAAGTTTGGCACATTGGATTCACAGGCCGCGGCCATGGTGGGAGCAGGAGGGGGAGAGGGCAGCCCACTGGCCTGGGACGGGCACCTGGAACTTCTGGTGGTAATGTTTTGAAACTTACTCATTATCCAGACATGGGACAAACTCCAGTGAATCACTAACACTCCATGCAATGAACTTGGGAAGACCTCTAACCACAGGGTCTCCTGCACAGGAGGATCTCCGTGGTGTTCCTGTATTCAGGGATTAGTAGGTGGGAAGAGGCCATATGTGCGCTGTAAGCCTTGCGGTCCTCTTCCTCTTCCCTAGAGTCACTGAAGGAAGCCTTGGGCAGGCAGAGGCACTGCAGTGGAGAGATCCTGGCACAGGGTGGCAAGGACACCAGGGACACTCAAGACAACCTCTAACTCCTAAACCACAGATGGTTAAAGACAGGATGGAGCGCTGACCCAGCTTGCCAAAGGGAAGCCTGGCCCCAGGCAGCACCCAGACTGGGTCTGGCCTTTCTCCAGGGAAGCTCTCAGAGTGAGGTGGGGGCAGCCTCCGGTGGATCCAGGAAGCAGAAGGCACAGGCACTGCAGTGGCTGACCCTCCCAAGGCCTTGGGGACATTTACTCAGGTGGGAAGGGCTGGCGTGGTGTTATCAGAGCTTTGTTTGACCGGCGGTCGGTCCAGGCAGTCATAATTCTCCTGACGTCATGGGATCTTCATGGGCAGCTTGTTGGAAAAGGCCAGGGGATCCCGCCACCCTGTGTTTGAGAACTTCTTTAAGGGTCACCTCGCAGCTGTGTAAATACACTATCAGGAAAACGTCCTTGTGTACCCTTTGTGCTACTGGTAAAGCATGAAAAGCAGGATTATTCTCAGTAAAAATTAAACCCTCGTGACTGACTATGGCAGTTCTCAGGTGACTTGATTTGTTTCTCAACTTCCATTATTTGCAGAAAATTTTTTCCAGCTTACATGTCACATGTTACTTTTATTTCACATACAGTTCTGTAAGATTTAACAAATGGGTGAAGTCCATTTGTAACCACCACCACCATCAGAGTCCATGGTGACGTTCTCCTCCCATGCCCCTGATGTTTCCTCCTCCAGAGTCAAACCTGCCACCCTCATCCAGCCACTTGCAATTCCATCCTGGGGCTTTTCCAGAATGCCACTTAAACTGAATTCTAGGTGACAAAGCCTTTGAGTCTGACTTCTTTCGTTTAGCGGAAAGCATTGGAAGACCATTAGTGTTGCTGTAAGGGTCAGTAGTCCCTTCTTGATATATGTGAGTACTATTCCATTTTTAGGGGCCATAGTTTGTTTATCCATCCACCCAGGGAAGGGTATGTTGGTAGGTAGAGTCCAGTTGTTGGCTATTATGTATAGCTATAAATATTTGGGTACAAGTTTTTATGTAAATTTGAATTTTTATTTCTCTGGAATAAATACCTAGGAGAGGGATCACTGAGTCACATGATATGTGTGGATTTAATTGCAAAATAAACTGCCAGATTTCCCAGAGTGGCTATAGCATTTTGCATTCCTACCAGAAAAGAGTGGAGTCCAGTTGCTCCTCACCATAGTCAGCCCTTGGAAATTTCAGTGTTGCTTTTGTTTCTCGTCATTCTAATGAGTGTGTGGTAATATTTAATTGTGGTTGGAATTTCATTCTCCAATGACTAATGCACACATGAGCATTTGTCATGAACTACTTTGCTATTATATATGATATATATAATAATATGATATATATATGGTATCTGTTCAAATGTTTTGCTTCGTTTCATTAGGTTATTTTCTTTTGCTAAATTTTACAGGTGATTTACATTTATTTTCTAGGTATAAATTCTTTTTAGATGTATGATTTCTGAAAGATGTATCCAAGTCTATAACTTGTTTTTAAGTGCATCGTTTTCAAAGCAAAATTTTAATGTTCTTAAAGACAAATATATCAAGTATTATTTGTGGATCATGCTTTTGGTGGTTTTATTTAAGAACTCCTTGTCTAGCCCAAAGTCATGAAGATTTTATCTTCTGTTTTCTTCTAAACTCTGTAGAGGACAGATACAGTGGTACATACCTATAATTCCAGCAACTCAGGAGGCTGAGGCAGGAGGATCACATGTTCAAGGACAGTCTGAGCAACTTAGTGAGACTCTGTCTCAAAATAAAAAATATAAAAAGCTGGGCATGTATCTCAGTGATCGAGGATCCCTGGGTTCAATCCCTGTACCACAAAAGTAAATAAATAAACAAATATAGTTTTATTTTTTATATATTGATCCATATCCCATTTTGTCTTAAAACTTTTGAAAGAATTTTTAGACGATGTTACTTGTTCATTGAAACCAGCATGACCATTTATTTACCTTTGGTCCTGTTAGATGAGCTTAGCCCTTAGTTCTATCAGACGATTCATGCTCTTAATCAATCAACAGTATTGATGACATGGCATTTCACATTCATTACTGCCTCTGAGCAGTTGAGAACCACCCTGGTTGGATACCCTGTGTTCCCAGCTCATGTTCCTAATCTCACTGTCTTTAGTTATTTCCATGGATCTGCAGTTATTTTCTTTAAAAAAAAGCACTCAATTTTTAAAATATTTTTTAATTGTAGATGGACACAAGACCTTTATGTCATTTACTTATATGTGGTGCTGAGGATCGAACCCAGTGCCTCACACATGCCAGGCAAGTGCTCCATCACTGAGCCCGAACCTCAGCCCTACAGTAATTTTCATTAGCAGAATGTCATCAAGGCGTTTAGAGTCTAAAAGGGTGGGGGGATAACTGTCTTATATCTTTTCTCAGTAAAATTCCATTTTTTTTCCTTTTTGACATGTGTATATATATTAAATATATATACACATATATTTAATCTGAACAAAATGAAGAACAAAAATGGAAGCATTTTTTTGCATAATTTAAATTTACAAAGTTCTCCAGTCCTCTACATCTTGACCTTACAGATGTCAGAGTTTTACTTAGAGCTAAGAAGAGCTTCGAGGTCACTCTTTAGTCCACTTTATCAAGTCCACAGATATTTTTCCTGAGCACCACCTGTGAGCCAGGGACTTTGGACAGTCCCGATGAGAAAATCAACTTCCGGGCACGTGAAGGTAGCTGTCAGTAACCCGTGGCTTATCCAGGCGCCTGCGGTTGCAGTCCTCAGAGTTCTGTCCTCCCCACCTCCTCAGAGTTCTGTCCTCCCCACCTGCCTCCACATGCTTGCCAGGTCACTGCTCTCTTCCCTGCCTGCCCCTGCAGCAGTCCCTGCCCCATGGGAATGACAGGGCACACATGGTTCCCAGGAGGAGACTTAGCTCAGGGAAGTGACATGTGGGAGGGAAATGTGCTGGAAGTGAGTTTATAGAGTTTTGAAAAGAAGATTGGAGGTTGGAGAAAAACCCCAGGGCTGCATCTGGGATGAGAGTTTTAAGAAGAGAAGCTGTGATTTGGGGTTTTTGAAAGGGAGGTTTATAGTTACCAGGAGGTAATAGGGAAGACATTAGAGGTTTGAGAGCAAGTTAAAAGAAAAGCTAGGAGAAAGAAGAGGGGTTTTGGAAGTGGCCTGAGGATCTGGGCTAAGATGTCTTTGTCTTGGACTCCAGTTCATAGATCAGAAAGTCACATTTTTAAAACATACTTAAAAGAACAAAGGTACAGTTTTGAATATTATGCAGTGTTTTTTTAAAAATATTTTTGTTTTAATTAGTTGTACATGACAGTAGAATGCATTTATGCACTTTGATATATATCATATGGGATGTAATTCTCAGTTTTCTGAGTGCACATGTTGCAGAATTATATTGGTCATGCAGTCACATATATACATACAGTAATAATGTCTGTTTCATTCTACTGTCTTTCCTATCCCCTCCCTGCCCCTCCCTTCACTTCCCTCTTCCTAATCTATGGTAATGACATTCTTCTCTAGTGCGCCCCACCTTGCCTTATTGTGAATTAGCATTCACATATTAGAGAAAACTTTCTGCCTTTGGTTTTTCAGGATCGGCTATTTTACTGAACATGATATTCTCCAACTTCATTCATTTACTGGAAAATGTCATAATTTCATTCTTTTTTGAAGCTGAGAAATATTCCATTAAATATATATACCACATTTTCTTTATCCATTCATTTATTGAGGGACATCTAGGTTGGCTCCATAGTTTAGCTATTGTGAATTTAGCTGCTATAAACATTGACATGCCTGCATTACTGTAGTATGCTGATTTTAAGTCCTTTGGGTATAAACTGAGGAGTGGGATAGCTGGGACAAATAGTGGTTCCATTCCAAGTTTTCTGAGGAATCTCCATACTTCTTGCACCAATTTGCAGTCCCACTAGCAACGTATGAGTGTACCTCGCCAACATTTATTGTTGACTATATTCTTGATGATTGCCATTCTGATAGGAGATGAAATCTTAGTGTAGTTTGATTTGCATTTCTCTAATTGCTAGAGATGATGGTCAGTTTTTCATATGTTTGTTGATCAATTTCTTCTTCTGTGAAGTGTCTATTTAGTTCCTTAGCCCATTTATTGATTGGGTTATTTGCTGTTTTGGTGTTAAGTTTTTTGAGTTCTTTATATATTCTAGAGATTAATGCTTCATAAGAGGTGCATGTGGAAAAGATTTTCTCCCAATCTGTAGGCTCACTCCTTTGCTGAGAAGAAGCTTTTTAATTTGAATCCATCCCATTCATTGATTCTTGAGCTTTAGGAGTCTTGTTAAGGAAGTCAGACCCTAAGCCAACATGGTGAAGACTTGAGCCTATTTTTTCTTCTATTAGGCACAAGGTCTCTGTTCTAGTGCCTGAGTCTTTGATCCATTTTGAGTTGAGTTTTGTGCAGAATGAGAGATAAATTTTGCTACATATGGATTTCCATGTTTGCCAGCACCATTTGTTGAATAGACTATCTTTTCTCTATTGAATGTTTTTGGCACCCTTGTCTAGTATGCGATAATCATATTTATGTGGGTTTGTC